TTCTGCTTTTGTTTTTTGGATTTTGTTGTTTGATTGTGATGAAAAATTGATTGATAAGATGAAGAAGGCAAGGCAAGGCAGTTGCTGGGTTATTGCAGGTGTTGGGTTCGATTTTTCAATTTCGAATGCTAGGTTTTTGCAGGTACTGGGTTTTTGCAGGTGCTGGGTTCATTTGCAGGTGCTGGGTTCGAAATCGAACCCAGCACACGGTGGGTTTGAGGCTCTGGGTTTCGTTTCGAACTCAGCAGTCGTTGGGTCAAATATCTATTGAGTTTAATCTGTTGATTTGTTGTGTTATCCTCGAATTTAATATTAGGAGTTAGGGTTTGCAGAAGGTTAAAGGAAAGGGAGAGGAAGAAGAAAGGGGAAAAGAAAAAACAAACAAAGAAAAAAAAAAAGAATAACAAATTTTTTAAGATTTTTTTTCTTGCTATCTCATTTTTTTGTCACACTGTGCATCCTAGGTGTAAAAATATTTTTACATGTCATCATTTTCTGTCAAGAAACGGGACACGTAGGTTGATATTTGACGGAAGGACCAAATCGGAGTAAAAATGGTAAACAGTAGGGACCAAATCAGGGATTTTTTTAGTTCAAGGACCAAATCGGGGGTCCGTACAATAGTCCAGGGACCAAAAAGGGGTTTTAACCAAGTTTAATTAATTAATTATTTATTTATTTATTTTGAGTTATATAATAAAAAAAAACACTTTCTTATCCCTTATTCTCTCCCACATACATATCATGCAACTTAACTTCAAAACTTTTTACCTTTTGTGGAAGAAAATTACTATCAAACCACTTAAATTTTTAGTAAGAAATTAAGTTTCTAATTGAAAAAAATACCTTAGTTAATCTTAGATCTTAATTTCCGTGAAGAGAAGAAAAAGAAATCAATCCTAGATTTTTTTTTCCCCTCTTACTAAATGGATAATCAATTAAGAAATTCCCATAACTATTTAAAACCTTTAACATTGGTTATCCCTAATTTTTCTTTAATCTTAAAAGACTTAAGCAAATCAGATAACTCAACTATCGCATTGAATATTTTTAGAGTTAAAATTTCAATTTGGTCTCTCAACAATTGTACAAAATTTTAAATTGGTTCTTGAACCAAAAAATCCTTGATTTGATAATATAGTTTTCAAATTTGATTCTAAATTAATCCTTTCATTAAAAAACAGTTAATATATTCATCACTTGATGGTAAAAGGCTATTTTACCATGGCCACGTGTTATGTTACAAAAGGGACACATCAACTATTTTTGAGGAAAGGGACTAACTTGAAATCAAATTTGAAAACTTTAGGGATCAAATTAAACTTTTTTTAATTTAGAAAACAACTTATAGTTTTATAAAATAATTAAGAGATCAAATTGAAAGTTTAACTTATTTTTAAAAAATTTTTTAAACTTATACCCTAAGGTCTCCTTTTTTCATAATTTTTTGTAAAAAAATTTATAAATATTGATATTAATTTTAGTATTATTATTATGTGAATAAATTTAATTAAATAATTAATAATTAAATATTAATTTTTATTCTTAAAAATATTGGATTTCTTAAAAGAAAAAAGAAAGAACTAAGTCAACACGTTATCCAAACAAGAATGGGTAAAAACCTACTTCGAGCCCCTCACCTTATCAAGTTAGAGGTTTTAGCCTCTTATTTTATATTATGATACTTTTAACCCCTCACCTTACTAGATTTGTGAGTTTTATCCCCTCATCTATTATAATTAAAGAAAATAGCCCTTACTTTATACTGATTGTTAACTTTATTAGCTGGAAATAGATTTTTGTCAACTAACAGTCAACTCATAACCAATTAACAGAATTAACAAAATATTATAAAATTAATTCTGTTAACTCTGTTAGTTGACAAAGTTAGCTAACTGAAAGAAAGTTTTTGCTAGCTAACAGTCAATTAACAATTAGCTAATATAATTAACAATTAACTAATAGAATTAACAATCAGCTAATAAAACTAACAAAATGTTACAAAAAGAGGATTATTTTCTTTAATTTTAATAAGTGAGAGACTAAAAATATCATAATATAAGATGAATGATTAAAATCTATAAATTTAGTAAAATAAAAAATTAAATATATTATAATATAAAATAAAAAATTAAAACCTTTAATTTTGATAAGCTGATGGGTTAAAAAAAATTTTTTACAACAAGAATGGCATTGGTCGCTTCATAGATCAAATCACATGAAAAAAAAAACATTACGCCTTACGGCAGTAAAAATCACTCTGGACTTTGATTGACATTGATTATCTGGGCTCTGCTTGGATCAACTAACTTAACTAGAAAACTTTGACAATTGCGCAGGACCGACAGTTTCATTGGACCGTCAGCATGAGTCCAATTCGATCGAGTTGACCCCTTTCGCCACGTGGCAAATCACCGTCTTCGGAGCCAGGTGCTGACACTTGGCACCACCTCCCCACGGCCCTTGACCACGCAATGGTAATTCTGGGCCCCACCCAGCCACCAAAGATTAAAAATAAAGAAATTTGTTGAGAAATAATTTTTTAATAAAAATTTTTCTATACTTTT